GTTTTGTCATGTTAGTTTATAATATATGTTGCTCTGTTACTTTTTTTAATGTTATGTTACTATTTTGTTATACTATCTTGTGTTACTTTTTGTTACACAATGTTACGTTTTGTTACTAATTGTTATATGTGTTATGTTTTTTTACTTTCTTTCTTATACTGTTATTTCACTATTCTATTATACTACGTTAAATTTCAGTTTTGTCATACTATAATATGTTAGGTTGTGTTCCTGTATTATGTTACTGTGTACTGTATTATGTTATGCTATTATTTTGTTATACATTGTTATGTTACTATTTTGTTACTATATTGTTTTATTTATTGTTTTATGTTACTATTTTGTTATACTTTGTTATGTTATGTGAGCCGCCATATAATAGCGCTTAGATGCTCGCCTGTCGACCCAAGGACTAGAATTCCAATCCAAATCGAAACAGATTTCTTCACTGACCTTGGCTCCAGATCAACACAATCTAAAAGGACTACCCGCTAATGAATAATAAAAGAAAGGCGTACAAATGAACTAGCTGGCAAGTAAGGCACTAACTCAAGCGGAAAGAAGGATGATTCACTTTTGTAGGAACTAGGGCTGTACCGAATAGTAAATTTTACTGTTCGGCCGAATACGAATAGCTGGACCAACTATTCGGCCGAATGCGAATACGAATACGAATAAAGAATCATCATCATCAGGTGTTTGCCGACATACATGGGTGATTATGCCTCGCCACAATCTGCGATCCCCTGCAGCATGCATTAGTTCGTGTGCCGACACACCTCCATGCCATGCAACGTGACTGACAAGAATCTTCTCTCGTTGTCTTCCTCCATCCCTCCTTCCACATATCTTTCCAGTGGTCACCACGTGTCCCATTTTCCCTAATCTTATAACATGGCCGAAAAATGATGACTGTCTCCTTCTGATGTCTGTATGGGTGATTGTATATGTGTGTATGCATGCATGTATGGGTACGTCTGTAATGTGTGTCGGCATGTATGTGGGTGTGTGTAAGCATTTTTAAATGTATAAGCATGTGGGTGTATGTGTGTTTATTTAGGTATGTATGCATGTATGTGTGTAAAGATGTAGGTGTATGTATTGATGTGTGTTTGTATATGTGTGTATGTATGTTTACATGTGAGTGTAAATGTGTGGTTGTGGGTGTCTGTACATGTGATTGTATGTGTGTGTATGCATGCATGCATGTGTAGGTGTGTATGTATGGAATGTGTGTGTGCATATATGTCCATATATGTATGTGTGTGTCTTTTCTGTTTGTGTATATATGTAGATGTATGTGTGTATGTATGTGTTAGGTATGTCTGTATATGAGTGTGCATGTATGAGAATGTGAGAGCATATATATATATATATATATATATATATATATATATATATATATATATATATATATATGTGTGTGTGTGTGTGTGTGTGAGTGTGTGTGTGTTTGTGAGTGTGTAAGATTGTGTACACATGATGTATGTATTATATTCTACAATGTATATTTTTATTCTATATCCATAACATGCATTTTAGATAACAGGCATTGGTACTCTGAAAAACGAGTGCTAAGAAGGGCCGAATGTCAGACGGGCCTGCGTGCCCAATTTGTAACCCTTTGAAAATAAAGCTTGTTCGTTCGTTCGTCTGTGAGTAGTTGTCTTCGGGCTCCCGCCCTTTTCAAAACCTCTTGGTGCTTTGTGTGTGTGTGTGTGTGTGTGTGTGTGTGTGTGTGTGTGCTAAGCATTCTTCTGTAAAACCACATCTGTGAGGCCTCAAGAAATTATTTGGTCTGTCTACCGATTGCCCAGGACTCACAGCCATCTGTTAAAATTGGATGTATGTAGCAAGCAAGAATTCTTTTTCTAACCTTCAATGACAAAGATATATGGCATAAGATGTTCTTCATTTTATAAAATGCAGTTTTTGCCTGCCCTATTCTGTTTCTTATTTGAGTAATGCATCTTCCATCTGATGTTATCTTTGTGTCCAGACACTGAAATGTCTGTACCTGTCCCAAAATAAAACCATTGACTTTTATTACACATTTAGGAATAATTATTTTCTTTAATACCACCATTACTTCTGTCTTCCCACTATTCAAACTGAAGCCCATTCTTGCACTTTCGCATTGTGTAAAACATCCATATTGTCAAATGTACGCTGACATTTTACTTCACAAAATGTAATACAGAATAGTAAACATTTAAAAACATTTCATGCTTTGCATCCTTCAGTCAGTCATTCTGTGGTAATTAATATACTAATTAATAGTTATTAGGTCTACTATTCGGCCCCGAAGCGAATATTCGGTACAGCCCTAGTAGGAACTAAACTGGTGGACAATAATGAGTCTCAGACGCTAACCTGTTTATGCGACCTGGAAGTTAAGTCTAACGACGATATGAAACTTAATTAACTAAGCATTGAAACGGTCAACAGAGGTGTTCAATAAATGAACCATGGCATGGATGAATAGAGGTATCATGGTATGGCTGGATAGAGATATCATGGTATGACTGGATAGAGATATCATGGTATGGCTGGATAGAGATATCATGGTATGACTGGATAGAGGTATCATGGTATGGCTGGATAGAGGAAGTATCATGGTATGGCTGGATAGAGATATCATGGTATGACTGGATAGAGGAGGTATCATGGTATGGCTGGATAGAGATATCATGGTATGGCTGGATAGAGATATCATGGTATGGCTGGATAGAGATATCATGCTATGACTGGATAGAGGAGGTATCATAGTATGGCTGGATAGAGATATCATGGTATGGCTGGATAGAGATATCATGGTATGGCTGGATAGAGATATCATGGTATGGCTGGATAGAAGAGGTATCATGGTATGGCTTGATAGAGATATCATGGTATGCTGGAAGGAGATATCATGGTGTGGCTGGATAGAGATATCATGATATGGCTGGATAGAGATATCATGGTATGGTTCAATAGAGGTATCCTGGCATGGCTCAGGAGAGGTGCCATATCATGGCTGGAGACAGGTACCTTGGCATGGAACTTTTATTGAGCCATGCCACGGCACCTTTATTGAGCCATGTCATGACACCTCTGTTAAGCCTTGCCATGGTACCTCTATTGAGCCATGACATGATACCTCTATCCAGCCTTACCACTGATTTCAATTACGCACACGTCAGGTTTTCAAGAAGCCTAGAGTGATAGCCTCTGTATGTCTGTACGTAGATTTGGTATTTCCAGCCTCGGATATTTGATTTGTCCATCGCTTGTGTGGTCGACCTCTATTTCTACTTCCATTGTGAATAGGAGACAGGGCTTTCCTTATTGTTTCTGTGAGCAAGATTTAATCCATTGTTGGCTTGCTAGGCCTGACGCACTTAAAGGAAGTATTTAACCAGATTAATGGTATGTTCAACCAGATTGATCGCAACTCTGGGGGGCTAGAGCTCTATTAGCCTGAGACCTCGCGGCCTCAGTTTTTCCAGTGTGCGCCGCTTTGAGGTATTAGAATTTCTCTCCTTTATGAGAGTTGGCAGGTGGAGCGGAGCCAGTCGTATTGACTTCGTCTGGACATCCCCTGCCTCTTTAGTAGCAGGCAGGCAATACTAGAGTGACCGTTTTCTTTCTGCATTTAAATAACATTTTCTATAGATTTGTTTTTTTTTTATTTAGAAAAGTTTTTTTTTTTTTTTTAAATCATTGCTTTAGCTACTGAGTGCGTACTCTTTGCATGATTTTATCTTCAGGTGGCAACGGAGAGACTGGGAAAAAGAGGAGACTAGGGAATAGAAAGGGAAGAAGACATATAAATAGGAGAGCGGGAGCCGGGAGAGTCAGGCGAAAACAAAGCTTCTGGAACTAAAGCATATAAGAGTGGGTTACTTGAACTGTCGTAGCGACAAGCAGAGAGGAGCTATACTGGAGAGATTGATTTATAAATCCTGGTTGTATGTATGCGATATATCGTTGCACTGCCTACTACTGCAGATAAGCTGAAAGTTGTGCAAGCAAAGTCATATCTCAGAGTAGCTGTAGACAAGAAGCACCTCCTGCATGAAGCTCTGTGTAGCGCTAAAGGTTACAGACTGAAAAGAGGAAGGCCTTGGATGGCGCAAGCTGAGGACACAGTTAGACCTGTGTTCAGGCTTTATAAAGATGGTTGAGAAGAGGAGCGGATCAAATTATCCGAGCATGTTTCAGACTTGTATAGGATTCTTATCACTTGAGGTCGTGAGTGCAGGGACTGGTCAGCGGGTCTGCAGAACAGAAGTTGAAAAAAGGATTCATGACAAGTCCCACGCAGGTGATATGATTATCTTTACAGATGGCTCTGTACTGAGGGGCAGCGAAGTGCATGCGGGTCTATGGCAAAAGCAAATGGACGTCGCCTAGTGCAACAAAGTCTGGCATATGATATCACAACGTCTAGTTTAAAAATGGAGGTGGAGGCAGTCACTGCTGCCTTCGGCTGGCTTGAGAATCAACTGTGCACACATGTTGTTGTTGTAACTGACTCACAGAACATGTTGAAAAAAGTGGAGACAGGCTCCGTGCATAGTGGCAAGCATCACTTTAGAGGTCCCTGGTGTCCTTTGGATATTTTTTCTAGGTGATGCCGGTATGTTGGGAAACCACTTGGTGATGAATTGATGTCAGACATGCTGAATATTTTGAGGGCCCTTTGGAAGCGAGTGTACAGTGCGGTGGCACAAATAGATCGTTACGGTCTGAGGAGAATGGCGCTGCAGGGAGTTACCAGGGGATCTGGTTGACGCTCATCACTCAAGGGAAAGGCGAACCGTGTGTAAAATCAGAAAGTTACTGGCACCATCGGGATTGGAACTCTCCGCTTGCTGCTGAAGATGGGGACAAAGCGCTTATGCAAGTATTGTGATGTCGATTCTTAGTTCAACATACAACATTCTCCTTTATGAAATTTTCAACTGTCACCTTCCTTACTAATATTTTATGGAAAATATATCCTTCATACAGATAAGTCCAATAGCGTCGGCAATGTTCGGGCACCTACGAACCCACTCGAGATTACTATAGTAACCATGTATATTAATATCGGAGGATTCCTGAAATGGGGAAACAACAATTATTTCAGTCCTGCAACTTACAAGAAATGGATGACAACCTGGGGTTGGCTCACCAACAGAGTGATTGCCTTCTTCGACAACGTTGAAGACCTGGAGACATTCAGGTAAGTTTACTCCATAGAAACTGAGCTCTGTTCAAAATGTTTGATGTTCAACTCTATCGTGAAATCAATATTGCTCTATAGAGCGTAAATTATAGTGTGTTTCAAAAGTCGTACCCTAACACTTTAATAAGTATCTAGAAAACTCGAGAACATAATCGGAGCGAATTTTTTTTTTTAATTTTTTTTTTTTTTTAATGTGCCTTAGATTGCTTATATCCTTACGATTTTATAATTGACAATTGCGCAGGTAATTTTTTTTTAATGTTTGATTGACTACTAATGTGTGTGTCTCTAACAAAAATAGAATGTACAGTAAGTGACACATGCGATTGGGTGAAAATCACTTTCTTTTAGGAAAATCACTTCCTGTTAGTTAAATGTAAGCATGCTGATTGTTTGCTTTAGATCTGTGTCTGTGTTTTTCATACACCGCAGATAAGACAAAACAAAAACTAGATGTTTGTTAAAATTTGTTTTTTAAATTCCTAGAAGGTTATAATTATTAACAGGTTGCTAGCCAAATTTCAACCTCTCACACCGAGCGATTTATAAGTTATAGGTTTTAAAAGTTAGGCACGACTTCTGAAACGTACTATAGTTATTTACTACTGGTTTTAGAGTAGACCTCATAGCATACCATGTATATCCGAACCTGCTCTGTCTTCTACGGAAAATGACAGCCATCCTTATCCGCTCATGACTTCAGGTTATATCTGGCTGTTGTAGCGTATTTAAGTGCCCTAATCATGATTTCCTTGAAATCTGAACAGAAAACCTGGGATTTGCCAAGTTTGCTTTGCCATCCATACTGGGATTTTTTTTTTTTTTTTTTCCAGGGTAAACAATGCTTCACATAGCGTCCTGGAAAAGATAATAAAACCGGACGGACAGCAAATGTCTTAAAGTGTAGATTCTGTAGCTTTCGGTTTAAAAAAAAAATCTTTGGATACCGAGCTTATGTTCTCAGCACTCTGCTTTATGGTAATAAAACTCGGTCAACTTATTCGCACCAGGAAAGGCCGCTAAATACTTTTCACATGCGATGTCTACAAAGAATACTTGACATTAAGTAGCAGGACAAGGTCACAAATGCTAAGGTATTGAAAAAGCAGGTATTACAACAGCTTCCTCAGTGCTGAGTCTACAAAGGCTCAGCTGGCTGGGTCCCCCTTGGAGAATGGATGATGGCAGAGTCCCCTAAGTGCACCCTCGATGGTGAATTAAAGATGGGTAAAAGATATCTTTTGGTTATATGGTTAGTAAAGTAAAGGACCTAATTCATGTCTTCACGCGTACTGGGCGTGTAGGACTAGAGCTATATTTTATAAACCATTCGGCACTGAGTGGGTGATGTGGTTTACATCATGCAAGCCGCCTTTACTTCCCATAACTATACCTGCTACCCACTTGACGTGGGCCGACCTGTGAAGCAATGTACTATTTTTTAAAATAAGTTCGTCATTATGAGGAAACGAACCCACAACCTTTCGATCCGCACACAAGTGATATAGTAAATATCACGCCGGCCACCTTTACTTCCCAGGACTTTTATCTCGTACCCATTGTGGGCTGATTCGACCTAGCAGCCATGGCTATTGTTGGAAAAAATCCGACTGGACGCGGACTGAACCCACGACCTTAAGGCCCGAGGCGAGCGACTAGCCGCTTCACCACGGTGGCTACTAACTAAACTTACATATGATGGTTCATCGGCATTTGTCTATAGGCACCAATCAGAATGCCGGTCTTCTACATTAAGAATGTTCTCTAGGCGTTGCGAAAGCGCTTCCTGATGCCAAGGTGCCGGGTTCGATCCCAGCTGCGGGCCTTGAGCCTGGCGTTGGTTTCGACAGTGGCAAACTACTAGACATAAACTTGACTAGAAAAACCACAACAGCCAAAAAATGCTGGGGTTGGTTCTGCAACGTCCTGCAAAGGATACACAACTAAATTTTACCCAGTCGCGCGGACACATAGAAAACATTAAGGGACCTCATGAGAAAACCACACACACACACACACACACACACACACACAAATACACACACATATACACACACACGCACACAAATATACATACAATTCGTCGGCATGCATATCTTTTTAAGTAGAAATTAAGAGACTCGGGAGATTTAGTCCTAGTTTAAGTGCATAATAATAATAAATTGAATTTTATACAGAGTATACTCAGGGACGGTATATCCACGCAAGTCTCTGTAATGTGGACCATCATGCTTGGTATCCACAAACATATCCACAAACATATCCACAAACATATCCACAAACATATCCACAAACACTACATATGTCCATTTTGACCTTCACGCAATACAGGCTGAGAATCATACACCATGGTTCCTCTGTTATACATATTTCCAGTTATTCCCGTTAGAGCTGCGGTGGCTGCCTTCGTCTACATCCTAGTTTTTGAAGCTGTGGATACATAACATCCATTTCTGAATCGGAAACGTGGGCAAAAACATTTTGCTAAGCTGCTTGTTCTAGTTATATAAGAATATAACTAGAATGTCGTTGCACTGAAACCCACACAGGCATAGAAATAAAGGAAAGACAAAAAACACACGGAGAAGGGAGCTAGAGAGTAATGTTTAAAAGTTGAGGAGAGCTTGGCGATAGTGAAGAACAGAACGACTTGGCGTGAACTGGTTGAGGGTTAATGCTCCATTGGGTTTAGAAAGGCAGAAAAAGAAACTGCTTATAAACTACGAACATGATAAAGTTACTGACTGTGCACAACAACAACAACAACAACAACAACAACTGTAATCAAGTAAAAGACTCAAAGGTGATATCTACTTTTTCCTTAACTAAACAGGACTGCATGACTGGACTAGAACGCTAGAACGTTCGTAGAGGTTGAAGGAGGTATCTGGTGTTTGCCTGACTGGCTTGTTACCTGACATACATATGGTGGTGTTTACTAAATTACTTATAAAGTACAGAGTGGTGCGATCGTTAATCAATGTCTAGTTCTCCGTACAGCTTCAGACATCAACAGGGAATTTTAAAAGAAATCAGGAATCAGTTTCATTGTTGGTCATTCTCTCTAGTGAGACCCAAGTTATTTTTTGTTTCTCTTAATGTACTAAGAAAGTGCCCCTAAAGATTACATCTAACTGCATTTGGATTCAGCTAATCATATTGTTGGCTAGGTAAGACCTCTCTGTACGAGGTGGATTATTTTATATGTTAACCGTTGCCCTGCCTCTCTCAGCCGGTCTTGGTTTTGGCTTTGTTGTATCCCTGTATACTTTAAGAGGTCTTACAACCTTGGTGTAGACTGATTCTTGTTGTATTAGAGCTGTTTCTCGTTTTTGTTGAATATCTGAGCAGTGCGACAGTCTGTGTCTTGGGCTCTTCCATTGATGTTGCCTCCGTTGCCACCTGTCTTTGGATTCTAATGCAGTTTTTAGTGTGTCTCTTAACTCCTAACTTGCTTCTTATTTTGTGTTCTGTGAGTCTGAAGCTACTTTTTTTGTGTGTGTGTCGGAGATTCTATAAATCATTCATCAGCTGTTTTGTATGATCTTGAAGTCTTGACTTGTCCAGCAAGGTGTTGCTCCTGGGAGCCTCGTATCTTCTTTGGCCTTCTCTATAAGGAGGGTTTGTTTTTTTTTTTTTAATGGCTGTTTCATTCTCTCTGCATGCGCAGGTCAAGTATCTGCTCCCATGTGGTTCAGAGCATTTTCGCGTTTCCTATTTGTGTTGGGCTTTGGAAATAAGCTGTCTATCTTGGCCTTTGGACACTCGCTGTAGGCATGAGGCTCTGAGCAATATCTGCGTATCTCCTGTTTGCTGGACAATTCGTTCTGGAATGCGAGGCCTTTTAGCATTGCGAAAACTGCAGTATTGATGGGATATACTGCTCTGCTTGTTCTTCTGACCTTGTGAGTGCTTTAGGAACAGCTGTCATCTTCATGGTCATGCTTGAAGTAGTTGCCTGGTAAGCGCTACCACCCTCATGTATTGTTTTTTCCCATTATTTTTGCTGTGTATGCCCATGCTTTATTATTGTATTAACAAACGCACCTCTAAATCCTTAGGCAAATAAGATCTGTACATCCAGCCGACAGAACTGTGTTAATAAAACTTAAGAGACAAGAAATACCAGCTTTCAACCAACTGGAAAGGATTAGGACTATATATCAGAACAGTTCATACCCGAAACATACGCCGAACACAGTGTTTGCTGAGTATTCGTGCGCTATGAATGCCAAATATGACGTCCTACAAATGGCAGTCCAGAGAGGCCTTGTACACACCGAGTACATGGCATGGCTGGATATAGGCTTGTTCAGGTATGTGACTGATTTATTTATCTCTGTCACCTTTATCATTGTCGTTGTTATCAAGGAAGGTAACTGGTTAATTTATCTCGAGACCTCCTCCCTCCCCCCTCCCCTCCCCTCCCCGCTTGCAAAAATGCAGCACTTTCTAGACGAAGATGCAAGAAAGGTATTTTACGCGTCTTACATCCAAACACATTTCGACTATTGTTCCAGTTTGGGATGGTTGCGCCAAATCCAATGTTAAAAGACTAAGTTCTCTTCAAAATCGTGCTTTACGCCTGGTTTCAGATAATAAACATATCGTTAAAAAAAATCTCTATTACCATCTAAGACTATTGCCATTTAGCAAACGTTTAATTTTCAACAAGGCCAAATTTATTCATAAAATTTTATCTCAAAATACTGCAAACTACCTTTTCCGATTAATTAAATCAAATCCTATAAATAGCAAGCGACTAAATTTATTATATTTACCTAAACCTAGAATAAATTTATATAAAACAAGTTTAGCGTACTCCGCTGCTCATTTGTGGAACCAACTTCCACTAGACCTGAAAAATTCTAAAAGTCCCTATTCATTCAACCGTAAACTTTTTCAATTCATACTTACAAGCGATTATATGCCACCTTGAATGTAATGTAACCCATATTGCATTATCAAGGTGTGTATGATATGTATGTATGTGTAGGCGTGTTTGTATACATATGTCTCTGAGTGTGTTGTTTGTCTGCTTGTGTATCTGCGTGTGTGTCTGCGAATGTATGCGTCTGTGTCCTTGTGTATGTGCGAATGTGTGTGTGTGTTCGCGCGTTATGTCCAGGTGTATGTTTCAGTGTGAACTCGTTTCTGTGTGTTTAAGTGTGCCTCTTTGCTGTGTATGTGTGTCTGCATGTGTGTGTGTGTGCGATTGGATACATGTAGCTGTGAATATGTGTCTGTGTGTGTGTCTTTGTGTTTGTCTGCATGTGTGTGTGTCTCGGTGTTTTTCTGCATATTTGATGTGACTGTGTGTATATCTTCGTTTGTGTCTGTGTGTCCCCGTATGTGTTTGTCTTCATGTTTGCCTGTGTATGTTTATGTGTTTTGTCTGCGGGTGTGTCTATGAGGCTGTATGTAAGTAATTCTGTGTGTGGGTGTCTGTATGTCTGTCTGTGTGACTGTATGTGTCAGCATGTGTCTGTCTGTCTGTGCATGTCTATGTGTGTTTCTCTGTGTGTGTTGTGTGTGCCCCTTTGTTTTCTGTATGTGTCTGCATGTCAGAGTATATGTCTGTGCGTGCTGAATATATGTGTCTGCGTGTGTATTTCTATGTGTTTGTATGTGTATGCATTTCTGCGTGTTTGTCTCTGTGGGTGTAAGTATGTGTTTGTCTGCCTGTTTGTCTGTATTTGTGTGTGTGTGTGTGTTTGACTGCGTGTGTGTCTATGTGGCTGTATGTATGTGTCTGCATGTTTGTCTGCGTATGTGTGGTGTGTGTGTCAGTGTGTGAGCACGAATGTAAATATGTGTGCTGTGTTTTTTCCTGTGTGTGTTTATATGTAAGTGTCTGTGTGTGTCTGTATTTTTGTCTGAGTGTGTGTGTCTCTGTGGTAGTGTCCGTGTGTGCATGTGTGTGTCTCCATGCATGACTATATTTATGACTGTATGTGTGTATGCCTGTATTACGTATGTAGGTATGAATGTATGTATGTATGCCTGTATGTTTGTATCTATGTATGTATGTTTGTGTGTACGTATGCCTGTGTGTATACATGTTTGTTTATATGTATCTGTGTATGTATGTATGTAATGTATGCATGCATGTTTGTGTGTGTAAGTGAGTGGGTGAGCTTGTGTATGCGGGTGTATGTATGCACGCGCGGGTTTTTGCATGCACTTTACAACTCATGCTTTTGTGTTCTTTTATAATATTTATAATATGCATAACATCATATGATCATAACATGCTTTATTAGTAAAATACAACTGCTGTGCGAAAGATGGTTGACTGGAAGGGCCGAATGTAAGACGGGCCTGCGTGCCCAATTTGTGACCCTTTGAAAATAAAGTTCGTTCGTTCGTTCGTTCGTTCGTTCGTTTTCCCTTTAAGAAGGTGAATATACATAATCGTTGTTTCTCTCTCTTTCATTATCTTTCTCTGTTTTGTTTTCTATCAGTGTTTGCACTTTCTACTAGTCTGTGTTTGTCTGTCTGCCGAACTGTTTAGTTTCTTTTATTCTTTCTCTTGTTTTTTTTTTTTTTTTTTAATCAGTATTTACATTTTTGTGTTCTAGGTTCTTTCTTCATGATACAATTTTGTTTCTTTCTTGTGTTTCTTTCTTTTTTTTTTTTTTTTTTTTATTGTCTTTCTTTGTTTCTGTCGTTCTTGCTTTTTACCAGGAGACACTGACTTAAGATAGGGAACTGAGCATCTTAGAAGTACGTTACATAGATGCGATGACAACATCGGTCCTGCAATCTCGTACACTTTTTTTGTTTTTGTTTTGTTAACGCGAGCAGGTCTTGCTACTCAAACTCACACTCCCACATTGAGGTAATTCTCATGCCCCCCCCCCCCCCCCCCATAAAACAGAATGACACTCTTGTGTGCAAAGATGTACTAAACTGTCTTTCTGCCTTCCCCCCCCCCCTCCCCCCTCCTTCTCTTTCTACTCTCATGTTTAATTTCTTAATTCTTTCTCTCAGTTTATACTTTTTAAACTTCCTACTGTCATCTTTTTATCGTTGCCCCTTTCATTTTTATTCTCTCTTAGTTTTTCGACTAATAACTGTTTCTGTCTTCGTTATTTACTCATTTTGATATAATTATCCAATCTTCTCTCTCTCTCTTTCTCTCTCTCTCTCTCTCTCTCTCTCTCTCTCTCTCTCTCTCTCTCTCTCTCTCTCTCTCTTCTTTTTTATCTTTGTTTATTTCGTTTTCTTTTCTTTCTTTTAATGGTTTTTTTTTTTTTTTTTTTTTTTAGATTTTTTATTTAGCATGTATATTCTATGATAACTACGATAACACTGAAAATTGTGGTACTACCAGAAATCTCCTAGAGTCCAAACTCCGCCCAAAAAATGACCGCTTCGCCTTGGAAGTCCCTAAGAACTTCAACTCCAGCACTGTTGGTATGTCGGCTGTGGCGTCCAGGAGAGACGTGTCAAATCTTAGCCCTTGGGAGTACATCAGGGAGAATTGGATCTGGGTTAGTGGAGCCTTCGTGCTGGCAACTAGAGAGGTACGTCGTGTACCGTTGTGTTTTCTTCTTAAAGTCCATAAGTTAAGCTCCATGTTTGTCCACAAAATCCAATACTACTTCCTAAGTCCATGCCGCATAGCTTTAGTCACATTCTTCTTATTCTTCTTCTTCTTCTTCTTCTTCTTATTATTATTATAATCATCATCATCATCAACATAATTATTATTATTATTCTATTTCTTCTTCTTCTTCTTCTTCTTCTTCTTCTTCTTCTTCTTCTTCTTCTTCTTCTTCTTCTTCTTCTTCTTCTTCTTCTTCTTCTGCTGCTAATCATTATCATCATAAACTACTTCTTCCGTTAAGCGTCATGGGAGGAATAATTTGCGATTCAGTGCACGCTGGCTGCCACTGGCTATTGTCATAAGGGTGTAAGATGCTTTTAATATTGTCGATTCATGTTTTCGTGGTCGTTTTGCTCTTGTAGTTGATCTTCTGAGAAGTATTGCCTATGATGTTATTCGATGTTGTTGTATTCTAAGGAGATGTACAAACCACTTTATTTGATATTTCTCGATGAATCTAATACAAGGTGTTGTCTCCACAATTTGTTTGATAGCACCATTATTCACTCGATATTGTATGGTTAGGTTGGCTGCTTTTCTCAGGCATCTCATCTCGCAAGTGGTGATTTTGCGTACATAGGCTTTAGATGGTCTCCATGCCTGGCACAGATAGCTTAATGTTGTAATTAAAATGCTTTTTAAAATCTGTCACTTTGCATTTATAGTTATGCTTGATGTTCTAACAATGGTGACAATCAGTCTGGTTTCTATTTCTCTGTCTATTCTTTCATCTTCGGTGATCACACTTCCTAGATATTTAAACTCTCTAACTTGATTCAGACCAGAACCTTTCATCTGTATGTGTAGTGGGTCAAGGGTCCTATAACTTGCAATGCTTTGGTTTTGTTTGCATTGATCGCGATGTTGTATTTACTGCATGCTGAGTTTAACCTGTCAGTGTGGTCTTGCAGTCTATCTTCTTCTTTACTGTAGAACGAGCACTGCTCGACAGCAAATGGTAGTTCGTTTAATATGGGTGAGTCGATTACTTCGTCTGATATGTGTACTGCCTCGTGATTATAAAGATATATTTTGTCGGTATTAGAGCTGGCTTCTTTAGATATTCTGTCTATAAATATGTTAGATAAAACTGGGGAGAGCACACATCCCTGTCTCACACATGTGATAACTGTGAACGTATCTGGTATGCCTTCTTGTGTTCGTACTGCACTTTGACTTGTGTGGTACAAGGCTATGATGTTCTCTACCATTTGTCCTTGCACCCCGTACTTATCAAGAACATAACATAGTTTGTTTCTTTCCGCTCTATCGAAAACAATTTCCTGATCTACAAACATAATATTTGTTGGGCATTATACTCAATGGTTCTCTCACACACTTGCCTCAGTGTGAGTAATGCATCTGTGCATCACCTACCTTTTCTGAAAGCGAATTGTGGTGCACTCAACTGTTGTTCAGCTACACGTATAATTCTGTGTTCTAGTAGTTTAGCGTACATTTCCCTTGTGTCTTCACATTCTTTCCTATTACTTTTTTTTTCCATACCGCTACTATCAGTGCTTGTTGCTTCTTCTAAGTAGTCGGCAAAAGGGTGGTTGTGTTTTGGTTATAGCTTGCCTGCGATTTTTGAGCCATCAGTCTAATTGGATAGTTTCAGCTGACCTCCCAAATAATCTTCTTTTCCGACATGCCTTTTAAAGTCTATTCTGCTTTTCCACACAAATGGGGTCCCGAAATCCACGAGGGAAATTATCCAATCTCCAGTCTCATTTGTTATCGCAGAGCGTGTGGCCAATATTGTTTGTCCAGTCTCTCGCTATGGGTTCAGTCTATTCTCTTTTAGCACATGGTGCATGGTTTTGGTCGTCCTATATGACGACTCTTCTACCTTTTGCATTATAATTGATGGTGTCAGAATGTATCATTTTTGTTTCCTACTCCTTTCTATCTCGTTGTAGTCTAAGTGGCATGAGTTTAGTTTCTGAATTCTAAAGAATCCTTTATATTTTTCCTTAAACAACTTGTCTCCGTTTTTCTGCAGAACCACTTGCCCTAATTTTTAAAAAAACGATTTGTCTTTATTCTTCTATAGAACAAATTGTCTTAATTTGTCCCCCCCCCCCCCTCCCTTTTTTTCCCCCACATTATTTTATAGAATCACGTTTTCTCATTTTTACATGAAACAACATGTTTTAATTGTTGTATATAACTACATGAGGTCACATTGTCCTAATTATATTCAGTCACTTGACCACAGTGTAGACTACGCACAAGTGGTTATTTCTACGGTGCTACCGCTGCTCTTTTGGCATTCCTTCCAACAAACACTTCTAGACGATTCTAAAAAACCCAGGTGTAACTGGTTCTGTCTGTTTTCTGCAGGTAATGATGAAGTTTGCTCAGTCCTACACCTTGATGGCCAATGAACTAATAGACAAGGGCATGTCCAGTACTGACCAGCAAGTTATTGGGGCCATGTACTCCCCGGAATACATCAAGCGCCAACAAGTGGACATCGTGGCTCAAGAGTGCTATGAAGGACAGTTTGGTCTCTACGGGTTAGATGTCATATACTTCTGTTTAGGGCACGTCTGCAAAGAGGCAGCAGAGAAACGGGAAAACGAAAACATAAAATAGCTTATGAAATACATTCAAAACCATTGATGTTTTCAGCGAAAAGAAATATTTATAGTTATCAGAAACAGAAAGGCAAAGAGAAAATATAGAAAGGAAAAGTGAACAAATAAAGAAGAAACACGCTCAAAAAGGGAGCATGACGGCTATTAACTCAACGACAGAACAATTTAGTGGACGATGTAAGTAAAGTAAAAGTGAAGGACCCTTATAGGGCTGGACCTATATTTTCATCTGCAGTTTAACAGATGATCGGTAGCCGAGCCAGGTAGTCTTAGATTGCTGTGATTGGAAGTATTAAGGTGTCATTCACCCCCTCTACATCTCGGTATTTCAGTTTCGCAATGTACGTTCTCGCTGTTGACATTATAGGAATTATTCTCATTGGCTGGCCGAACATTGTCTTTTTTTTTTTCTAATACTAATTTATTTTTTCGTTGTTGTCTTTGTTTCTGAATTATTTTAACAAAAGTCTAAATGGGCAAACTATTTTTATTTGCATATCTTCGTTTTCGTTTAGTATTGGTCCTAGGCCGAATTTTTCTTCTCTTATTATGTTTTTATTTCTCTTATTACGTTCTTTTTTTCTCATCTATTACGTTTTTCCCATCAATTAAGTTCTGTTTCTCTAATTACGTTCTTTTTTCTCTCTTACGGCTTTTCCATCTATTTCCCTCTTATTACGTTCCTTTTTTTCTATTACGTTCTTTTTCTCTTATTACGTTCTTTTTCTCTTATTACGTTCTTTTTCTCTTATTACGTTCTTTTTCTCTTATTACGTTCTTTTTTCTCTCTTATGTTTTTCCTATCTATTACGTTTTCCCCTCTTATTACGTTCCTTTTATTCTATTACGTTGTTTTTTTTCTCTTATTACGTTCTTTTTCTCTTATTACGTTCTTTTTTCTATTACGTTCTTTTTTCTCTTATTACGTTTTTTTTTTCTCTTATTACGTTCTTTTTTCTTTTATTACGTTCTTTTTTTCTCTCTCTTACGTTTTCCCCTCTTATTACGTTCCCTTTTTTTTATTACGTTCTTTTTTCTCTTATTACGTTCGTTTTCTCTTATTACGTTCTTTTTCTCTATTACTTCTTTTTTTTCTCTTACGTTTTTTCTCTTATTACATTATTTTGTTTCCTTATTAGCTCTTTTCCTGTGTGACTTTACTCCTAATTTTACCTCTTCTGGTCACTCCCACCGCCTTCTCAAACATCTCTTTTTTTTTTTAAATACTAATTTTCTTTTCGTTGTTGTTTCTGGTTGGAAATTGTGGAGATGAATATTTTTTTGTAACTAACTCCTCTAGAATCAATTATGTTCTCTAAAACGTCTCTGATCGACCAAGCAGAAGGGGGGTAGATTAAAGAGAGTAAAATCGTGGTGGGTCAGGTCGGCGAGATTATTCAACAGATTTCTTCAGTTGAGGACATAGAACCTGGGGAGGAATTTTTTACGAGTGCCAACAGAGTGGTGTATATTGTGTTCAGTCTAAAATAAAACTGAACATAAATGGCTGTTGGTTGTTGGGGTGGAAGGGTAAGCCTTATTTCTTGAGAATTCTTTGATGGAGGCGTAGTTATTTACATGGATGGATCCGTCGTATCACACGTAGTTATTTACATTGATGGATCCGTCCTATGACACGTAGTTATTTACATGGATGGATCCGTCGTATCACACGTAGTTATTTGCATGGATGGATCCGTCGTATGGCACGTAGTTATTTACATGGATGGATCAGTCGTATGACACGTAGTTATTTACCTGGATGGATCCGTCGTATGGCACGTAGTTATTTACATGGATGGATCCGTCATATGACACGTAGTTATTTACATGGATGGATCCGTCGTATGGCACGTACACAGCTCATTGTCTTTTACGGTTCTGTTTCAAGGGAAAACTGTTTTAAGAATTATAGCAGTGCCTCGACTACAAGTAGCCTGACTACAGAGGTGATGGCGGTAACAAAAGCGGGGATATGGCTAGAGACTCAGCAATTTCTTATGCGTGCTTTCTAAGCGTGTCCATGAGCATGATTAAGAAGATCAAGACATGATGAATTCGACCACAACGGTTGGATTCTCTGGGAAAATCTCGTCCTATAGGAATTAGTTTCACTTCTGTACCAGGGCACTCTAGGTAAGAGGGAATGAACAAGCAGATTAGCTTGCTGTAGGGCCTTAGTAGGTATAGAACCAGCAAATGGACTCGGCTGACATTTTCAGTACACTCAAGAAGGCAGGACGAGTAGATGATTCAGAAGACGATGAATCGCTAACACTCAAAAGAATACAAGAACTTCAAGTTAAAAGAGGTGTCGCCAGACAGGAATATATACTATACAGCTCGCAAAGATTAGTAAACCAACACTGAACTGGAGTCATCGATTGCCACACACTGAGGGTTGAGTTGAGTTGTTGAGTTGAGTCAATAATTGACATCACAGCACTCGGGGCATTCCCATGTATGCTCTGTCCTCATTTTCAGCAGACAGTGTAGAGTTCCAATACTGATGGTACCAGCCACAATTAGGGCTGTACCGAATAGTGATTTTCACTATTCGGCCGAATACGAATAGCTGGACCAACTATTCGGCCGAATACGAATAGGTGGTGAACAAAGATAACGCTTGACAGTATGAACCAAAGTGGGCAATCTTGATATGTTTATTTTCTACCAGTCCAGAAACGGTTTGTGAGGTAACCACTATTCGTATTCGGCCCCACCGCAACTATTCGGCTGAATACCGAATAGTTATTAGGTCCACTATTCGGCTCCGAAGCGAATATTCGGTACAGCCCTAGTCACAATCTGGATAAATGTCTGACTTTCCTTTCCTCTGAGTTTGGTGAGCTGGCCAGACTCTCTAGTTACACTGAGGGGTATACTGAAAATGGGATCCAATCGTTAATGGACTTTTCCAATGTGAAATAAGGAAAATCTATCAAGTAACTAACTAAGTAACCATACCAACTCTCAAACACACAAACCAACAGAACTCTGTAAATAATATGAACACATTTATTTAGCAATTTTATTTGTGTCATGTCTACATAAATAAGAGAAAAGTCTGTTCTCAGAAAAACTAAATTTCATAAACTGTACCCATTCATTTCTAGTTATAGTCCGTTTTAATGTATTTCATAAATTATATACATACATCAACTCAGTTCTGTGAGTAAATGTATTTCAAATAATTGTGGTTTTCAGATATTCCGAACATTATATTTATGAAGTTTTACACAGAAATAGAAAATATTATTGTAGGTTTTTTTGGGGGGGTATGATTAGAACCACACATTAATGAGGTTTGTATATAGCCAGAACTATACATTAAACAGGCTTTTTGTGCGAACAGAACACATCAATGCTATCAACCTGAGAAGGCCATTTTCCCCCCTATATTCAAAAGTTTTTGATGTCATGAAGTCATTGGGCAGTGGTCACTACGCTTTTATTACTCCAATGGTCAGTAAGTAAAGGACTCTTGTTCACACCTTTATGTGTACTGGACACATAGGACTAGACCTACATTTTGTAGACCTATCATCACTCAGTGAAAGATGTGGCCAACATCACACCAGCCACCTTTACTTCCCAGGACTTTACCTGGTACCCATTATGGACCTGGTAGTCCAGGCTGTTTTTGAAAAAAATCAGGCTCCATCAGAACCTGAACCCACGACAACCTTCAGATCCACAGGCAAGCATCCAGCCGCTACATCCAGGCGGCTCCCATAACAGTAATGGTACTACTGGCTGTAACTGCACAGTGTGTTAACATCATAAGTATGGTTATATGTATGTGTGTGCGTGCGCGCGCACACACACACACACACAACACAACACAAATTCTGAGATATCAGGGGTAATAAAATCACATTTTAAAATGTTCACCCCATCATTAAATCATAATAATTTCATACGCAGTCACAAAAGCTTCCCATGGCTAAGTCAACAAAACTATATTCATCATCGTCAAAGGGAAGGAAAAAGAGTTCATTCTTTGCTCTTTTTGTATCTAGCAATTCCCTCCCTTACTTTAAACAAAAAAAATTAGTTTTGAAAGATGAAATTAGGAATTATTTGAATTGTCTGACGAGCTGCAGTGTGGCTGTGGACTTCATGCTTGCCTGTGTGCTTGGTGGTCTAGGGTTCGACCTCCTGAAAGTTTAAAAACAAAGTGCCCATGATTTCAAATATCTTCTGCTTCTTCTTCTCTGTGTGTATATCTGTATATGTCTCTGTGTGTATGTGTCTCTCTGAGTATGTCTGCATGTGTGTCTGTATGTGTGTGTGTGTGTGTATCAATGTGTACCTGTATGTATGACTGCGTATGTGTCTGCGTTTGTGTGTCTTTGTGTGTATGCATGTGTCTACATGTGTGTGTTTGGGAGTGTGTGTGTGTGCCTGTGGGTTGTGTGTTTGTGTGTATCTGTTTGTGTGTGTGTGCGTGTCTGCATTAGTGTGTGTATGCGTGCGTGTCTGTGTGTGTGCGGGTGTGTCTGTGTGTTTGTGTCTGTGAGCATGTGTGTGTGTTTCTGTGGGTGTGTCTGTGTGTATGTATGTATGAGTGTGTATACCCACATTGCTAAGACCTTCATCCAACCTTTTAACTGCATCTTTATTGTCTATTGGTTTGTAAGATTTCTGCACAACTCATCTGATTAATTATCATTTATAACATGACCTTCAGGAGGCTTTGGGTCTAATATTCCCATCTTTCCCAAAAATTGTTGCCTAAGAACCCACATAGGAAAACTCACCAATCAATAAATCTAAATCTGTCAATACAAATCATCAGACATCTCTCTAACAGTGTTAAAAAGTTAGAGGTTAAAACCAAGAGGATTGACTTCAATGAACCAGGTATTGTCCTATATAACTTGGTTTCTCTCCGCAGAACGACTAGGCTCCTGCTGAAAGCAGCATACAAAACACGTAGCCCTGGCAATTCTCCCCCCCCCCCCCCCCTCATCCCCGGATCTTGGTTTATAAAAA